AAAAAAAAAAAAAAAAAGATGTCCCCAGCTCAACAGCAAATGCTGAAATAGGCAGGGACTTCATGCAGTCATCTGTCTCTACAGAATCTATGCCTGAGCACGCACAGAGAAGTCCAAATATTGTTCTCTTTGAAGCCCTTTCTTTGGCCAGGCTTTATCATCAGTGAGGAGTAAATATTCTCTCGAAGCCCTTAACACAGCCAATGTCAAGCCCAAATCAATGACCCTTGGGTTCTTCTCTTACTCTCAGAAAAGTTGTCCCTGGGTGGTAAAATGCTGAAGTCCACACAGAGATACTGAAGTTCCTGCCCAGACCCAAGAAATTACTCACTTAGTGAATATGGGATGACAATGAGAATGACCCCATCAGACATTTTGTACACTAAAACCCATTCTGCACATTTTTCAAAGCCCAGCCTACTTTTTAAAAAGCAGCAAAGAAAAACTTACTATCACATGAATGCATGATTCAATTTTAAGGTCGGCATTGTCATGTGGGGTCGCATTTGTGTGACTAGAACGCTTTTAATGGTAATACTTGATCACAGAAATCCTAACTGTTGATCCTTTGAGGTGGTTCTGTTAGTCTCCACCCAAGGGTCCCAGGGCCTGTCACAGAAACTCGCTCCTTTTGCTGATGAATTTGACCCAGGACCTCTCAGGGGAAGGGGGCAAAAGGGTGGGGGATAGATCCTCAAGCTGCCTTATTCGCCAGCCCTGAAATATGGTTCCACGTGTGTTGGTTTGCAGTTTGAAGAGCCAACCAGTAGGGATTGTTCTCCAAGTTACACAGTTTGTAGCATGTGGCCAAAGCTGGGCCTCCCTCTAAATGACCCATGCACATTTGTGTAAAACATACATGTGAAGGAATTAGTGGACTGTATTGCTTGCTTTTGCCTGCCTCAGAAAAACCAAACCTAGCGTTCTGGAACAATTTTCTTTTTGATAAGGGGTATATAATTCTGTAACACCAACTATGATTTTCCATCCTAATAGCTGTGTGACCCTTGTAATTGTGCCGACTTTGGCCTAATGTTAACATAAATGCAAAAAAAAATTGAAAAACTGGAATTGCATCCATGAAAAACAATTTTAAGCCCTGCTGATCAAAAATTCAGTCGTGAATTGTGTCACGCTATCTATTAAAAGAGATCCAAATAAACGAAAACTATTGTTGTTCCTGCATCCATATGTTTTCTAGTGAGCACTAAATTTGCTTTATTTATAAGAAAAAGGGTTTCTGAGCCACATTACAGGTGACATGTACCAGAGGCCCCGTGCAAAGCAACAGTGTGAAGGGTCAAAGGAAAGGAACTACATTGATTTCCCACTACTATTTTCTCATCTAAAACCTGCATGTGAGCCTGTGTGATCTTTGAGTTTTTGTTCTTATAACCTACAACGTTACAATACAGAAATTGTAATAACAGCTGCCTCATTTTCAAAGTTCACGTCAACAGTTCTTACGTTGTTGGATTACAGGGCTAATTCCTCATCGTCTGTTTCACCGATTTTCCATACTGGGCACATGGTTTTCTTTCTTCTCACCCAGGAGTATTACTGGGTAAACAGGTGAAGAACTGAGAAAATTGGCGGCAGAGCATTTCAGGAAATCTATCAGAATCACACCCAACGTAAAAACAAGCCTTACACAGTGCATCCCATTTTATTGCTGAAATGGATTATTCTGCACTGGAACATGCCTGGTGTTCAGAAGCGTCTCCCTGCCCCAGAATAGAGACCCACGGCCGTGCGCCACCTACTGGAACGATAGAAAACTACAGACGTTCGTGGAAGTGGAAAGGACGTCCCAAAACCACGATGGTGCTCGGTTGTCAAGCCAGGCTTCAGAGAGGTTTCCTATTTATACGAGCACTTCCCCGAACTCCACGTGTGAACACAATAAAGTGGAGGCCGTGGCCACAACTAAATGATGCCTGGCCACGCGTACATGGGCAGGTGGTAGTGATTATAGTGCAGGTAGTCAAGAATGCTCTTCTCCACCAGCGACTTGTAGATGGTTTCCTGGTAGACTCTTTTGAGATATTTCCGGGGCTTCTCCTTCAGGTTAATTTCCTCATCTTCTATCTGCCGGGCTAACTGTTCTATGGAAGGAAGTTCTTCCTCCTGGAAAATCCAGGAAGAGGCCAGATAACAGAAATTACTCGGACAATAAGAGGGCAGTTTCACTAAAATTAAAAAGAGTGCTCACCTTCCCAAGGATGGTCTTTTCCCCCCTAGCTTTTTAAATTTTTTATTTTTAATTGTGGCAAAATGCACATAAGATTTACCACTTTAACCATTTTTTTAAAATATAAAGGATAATTTATTTAAATCGAAACTCAGTACACATATATAAGAATGAATACAGAATTGTGCCATGTAATTTTACTTTCTGTGTGTGAGTTTACTACTCTGGGTACTTCATATAAGTGGGATCAAACAGCATTTGTCTTCTTGTGACTGGCCTACTTCACTTGGTGTTATGTTCTCAAGGTTCAGCAAGAATAGTAATTTTAAGTTCTTAATATTCGGATAAAAATTATCTGTAGCTCACACTTGTTTTAAAAATAAGAAAGGAAGTTATTAAACACTTTTACATGAAAACTTCTAGATGTTTCACGTGGTTACAGTCCTGTCAAGAAATAGGATTTAAAAACCCTTAAATTCTTAGTAAGTCAAATTTCATCGACATCTTTAAAGATAAGGCTCAGAGAGAATAGTTATTGAAAGTTGAGATATGCTGTGCATATCTGTAATATAGTAGGGGTTTTCCCAACATTTCATTATAAAAATATTCAAACAGAGGCAAGTGGACTGAATTGTACAATTAGCACCAGTGTGCACACACCACTGGGTTCCACGGCTAACATTTTACTCTATTTCCTTCATCATACACCATACATTGATAGGAGGTTCTTATGCACGTCACCAAGGTTTGAGCTGAGTGCGTTCTGAACGCCACAGTAATTCCAAAATCCCCAAACAGAAGAGTCACAGGGACTTTGATGGTATATTTACCCGAACCTCCAAAAGTTTTTATTTCGAACAGGAAAAAAGTAGATGACTTGCAGAGTTCTAATGGATCATTAATTTATTAATAGTAAGAATTTTATAGATAGGAAAATAGGCTTAACCGATATGGAAGCATAACAGAATTATCATTTGATTATTTAAGTGAGACACTACCAGGTGTTGGAGATTACACACACTTCACTTGGAAGAACAGTCAGTAGGGCTCAGAGGACTTCAGATTTGTATCAGCTCAACAAAACAGTGACAGAGAAAAAGGCACCCGATGCCCAGGACTTCATATTAGAGGTGCTGAAACATTTGAGTGCTGCTAGCATGTCCCCAAGCGTATATTCCACAAGATTCCTTAGTTTTTCAGAGAATTATATCAAGTAAAAATGACTTTACAAAAATTGTAGAAGATTTGGAGCTCATGATGTATGGAACTGTTCTGACAATGGGATAAATACTATAAAATCACAAAATGGAGCTTTTATCTAAGACAAATACTGCTCTAGATTGTAAACAGATTTTTGTGCATTTGTCTTTCATAGTGTGTCCTCTCTGTGTGACCATCTCCCCCTCATGTGACCATCTCCCCTCTCAGTGTGACCATCTCCCCCTCCAGTGTGACCATCTCCCCTCTCAGTGTGACCATCTCTCCCCATGTGACAATCTCCCCCCCTCAATGTGACCATCTCCCTCTCAGTGTGACCATCGCCCCCCCTCAGTGTGACCATCTCCCCCCCAGTGTGACTATCTTCCCCCCTCAGTGTGACGATCTCCCCCTCCAGTGTGACCATCTCCCCCCCAGTGTGACTATCTCCCCGCCCAGTGTGACGATCTCCCCCTCCCATGTGACCATCTCCCCCCTCAGTGTGACCACCGCCCCCTACAGTGTGACCTTCTTCTCCCATGTGACCATCTTCCCCCCTCAGTGTGACCATTTCCCCCCTCAGTGTGACCATCTTCCCCCTCAGTGTGACCATTTCCCCCCTCAGTGTGACCATCTCCCCCTGCAGTATGACCATCTCCCCTCTCAGTGTGACAATCTCCCCCCATCATGTGACCATCTCCCCCCTCAGTGTGACAATCTCCCCCCATCATGTGACCATCTCCCCCCTCAGTGTGACTATCTCCCCCTCCAGTGTGACCATCTCCCCCCCCAGTGTGACCATCTCCCCCCCTCAGTGTGACCATCTCCCTCCAGTGTGACTATCTAGTGCCAACACTTGTTATTTCCTTTTTCTTTTTACAATAGCCATCCTAGTGTGTGTGAAGTGGTATCCCATTGTAGTTCTGATTTGCATTTCCCTAATGATTAATGATATAAATCTTTCCATGTAAACGGTTTTACTTTTGGATTATCAATTTTATTCCATTGTCCTATATATCTGTCCTTATGTAAGTACCATGCTGTCCTGGTTACTGCTGAATTATATTAAGTTTTCAGATTACAAAGTGTAAGTCCTTCAACTTTTTTTTTTTTATTTCCAAGATTGTTTTGGCTATTTGGAGTCTCTTGCGTTTCCTATGAATTTTTCCATTTCTGCAAAAGATGCCACTGGGATTTTGATAAGATTGCATTAAATGTGTACATTGCTTTGGGGAGTGCTGCCATTTTAACTATATTAAGTCTCCAATTCATGAATACAAATGTCTTTCCATTTATTTAGTTCTGCTTTAATTTCTTTTAGAAATGTCTTCAGGTTTTCAGGGTACAAATCTTACACCTGTTTAAATTTATTCCCAAGTATTTTATTCTTTTTGATACTATTGTATATAGAATTGTTTTCTTAAAATTCCACTCTTGGATTATTCATTGCTAATGTAGACAACTGATGAATGTGTGTTGATATTGTATCCTGTAGCCTTGCTTAATTCATTTATTAGCTCTAGTATTTTGTGGATTCTTTCAGATTTTCTACGTATAAGATCATGGCATCTCAGAATATGGTTTTACTTCTTCCTTTCCAATGTGGATGCCTTTTGATTCTTTTTCCTGCCTAATTGTTCTGGCTAGAACTTCCAGTACAATGTTGAATGTAAGTGGTAAAAGCAGGCATCCCTGTCTTGTCCCAGATCCCAGAGCTAAAGCTTTCAGTCTTTCACTGAATGCGATATTAGCTATAGGTTTTTCATAAATATCCTTTATCAGGTTGGGGCAGTTCCCTTTTATTCCTAGGTTTTGTTTTGTTTTGTGTGTGTGTGTGTGTGTTTTACCATGAAAGAATGTTTGATTTAGTCAAATGCTTCTTCTGTTTCAACAGAGATGACAGCATTTTTTTCTCCATTCTATTAATGTGGTATATTACACTGATTGATTTTTATATGGTGAACCACTCTTACATTCCTGGGGTAAATCTAAGTTGGCCATGGTGTATAATCCTTTTGATATACTGCTGGATTTAGTTGACTAGTATTCTATTGAAGATTTTTGGGCCTAAATTCATAAGGGATATTGGTCTGTAGTTCTCTTCCCTTTTGATGTCTTTGGCTTTGGTATCAGGGTAATGCTGGCTTCAAAGAATGGGCTGGAAGGTATTCCTTTCCCTTCATTTTTTTGAGAAGTTAGAGAAGGATTACTGTTAATTCTTTAAATGTTTGGTAGAATTTGCCCACAAGCCATCTGGCCTTGAGCTTTTCTTTGCCATGAGGTTTTTGATTGCTGAGTCAATACCTTTACTTATTATAGGTCTGTTGAGATTTTTTTTAATTTCTTTTACATCAGTTTTGTAGTTTGTATGTTCCTAGAAATTTGTCCATTTCATCCAAGTTATCTAGTTGGTTGGCATACAGTTGTTCACAGTATTCTCTTATAATCCTTTGTTATTTCTGTAAGATCAGCAGAAATGTTCCCACTTTCATTTCTTCTTCTTCTTTTTTTTTTTTTTCTTTAAGAGAGGGAGAGGGAAAGGGAGAACCTTAAGCAGAGTCCATGCCCAGTGCGGAGTGCCAGTTGGGACTCGATCTCACGACCCTGAGATCATGACCTGAGCTGAAATCAAGAGTCAGACACTTAACTGACTGAGCCACCCAAGCACCCATCCCACTTTCATTTCTGATTTTAGTAATAGAGTTTTTATCCTTAGTCTAGCTAAAGATTTGTTAATTTTGTTGATCTTTTCAAAGAACTTCTTGATTTCACCAATTTTCTCTGTTGGTTTTCTACTCCCTATTTCATTCATCTCTACTTTAATTTTTATAATTTCCTTCCTTCTGCTAGCGTGGGGTTTAGTTTAGTTTCCTTAAGGTATAAAATTAGGTTAGTGATTTGAGATATTTCCTTTTTACAACTCCAGGCATTTATAGCTACAAATTTCCCTCTGAAAACTGCTTTAGCTGTATCCCATTACTTTTGGTATGTTGTGGTTTTGTTTTCATTTGTTTCTAAGTATTTATAATATCTCATTTGATTTCTTCTTTAAAATCAAAGAAATTTCTTAAGAGTCTGTGTTTAATTTCCACAATTTTCTGAAATTATTTCCTTCTGTTATTTCTAGTTTTATTCCATTGCAGTTGGAGAATATATTTTGTATGATTTAAATCCTTTAAAATTTATTGACACTTGTCTTTTGGCCCAACATATATGGCCTCTCTTGGAGAATGTTCCATGTATGCTTAATAAAAATGTGCCTTCTGCTGTTGTTGAGTAGAGTGTTTTATGTTTATCTGTTAGGTCTATTTGGTTTATAGTGTTGTCTAAGTCCCCTATTTCCTTATTGATCTTCTATCTGGTTGTTCTATCCATTATTGAAAGTGAGATATTGAATTCCCCAGCTCTTATTTTAGAACCACTTCTTCTTTCAGTTCTATCAACTTTTGCTTTATATATATTGGGCTTTTGTTGTTAGGTGCATAT